GAGTACACAGGATGTGTGTAATGAGTGCTAGCTCTTAGTTAGGGGTTGATCTTGGCCTTGGAGCAAATGAGAAAGGACACCTGTCAGTCTGTCACGAGGGCCGCGCCAAGGAGATGACAGGAGAGACCCAGGAGTGCGAGCGCTGGAGGAAAGTCCCCGGAAGGCTCCAGTTCCCATCTGTGGCGTGACAGCTCCCTCCCAGATTCCATGGGCTGCCTCAGTGTCCTTCCTGTCAACTCTGATGCTTTAATCAGCCAAAGCCAAGTGCAGCAGGTCGATATATACCACCAGACCACCAGCGATACTCAGCACCACAGCCCCAGGGGGAAAAGGAAATCTGATTGGCCAGCCTGGGTCAGATGTCCACTTCTGGGCCAATCATATCCAGCCCAGGGGCTGAACCATAGAGGGTCCGTAAGCAGAGGACAGGTAGGCTCAGCTCTGGTTGAAAGACACAGATATAAGCTAAGGTGTCATGTACTATAATAACAGATGAAGCCCGGCCTGTGTGGCTCAGTGGTTGAGCGTTGACCTATGAACCAGGAGGTCACAGTTTGATTCCTCGTCAGGGCACATGCTCGTGTTGCCAGTCTGGTCCCCAGTGGGGGGCGTGCAGGAGGCAGCTGATCAATGATTCTCTCTCATCATTGGTGTGTCTCCCTTCCTCTCTGAAATCAATAAAAATATTTTTTAAAAATTAATAAAAACAGACGAAGCTCAGGGCACTCTGGGGGCCCAGAGAAGGCACCCTACCCAGCCTAAGTGTGTGTGTGTGAGAGAGAGAGAAGGGGGGGAGGCGGAAGGTGTCAGGAACTTCCCAAGGAGGTGCCATATTCATTGAGGTGTTTTTTTCCAGCTTAATTGAGGTATGATGGGCAGATAAAATAGCATATATTTCAGTTGTACAACATGATTTTTTAAGGTATGCAAAATGATTTATTATACATATATTATGAAGTGGTTGCCACAGTCAGGTTACTAACACACCTGCCTTTGTGTGTGAGCTGTTCAAGTGTGTTTCAACAATACAGAATATCATTAACTGTAGCCACCACGCTGTACATTGCATCCCAGAGCTCACTGGTCTTCGAAACGGAAGTATGTATCCTTTGACCAACGTCTCCCCATTGCCCCCACCCCTGCACCCCCTGGCAATCACCTTCCTACTCTGGTTTTATGAGTTTGGCTTCTTTAGATTCTGTGTATGAGATCAAACAATATTGTCTTTCTCTGGTTCATTCACCTAGCAGAGTGCCCTCCAGGTTCATCCATGTCCTTGCAAATGGCAGTGTTTTCTTTTCATGGCTGAATAGTATTCCGTTTTTTTAAATACATATTTTTTATTGATTTCAGAGAGGAAGGGAGAGAGAGAGAAACATCAATGATGAGAGAGAAGAATTGATTGGCTGCCTCCGGCACGCCCCCCACTGGGGATCGAGACCACAATCTGAGCATGTGCCCTGACCAGGAATTGAGCCTTGACCTCCTGGTTCATAGGTCAACACTCAACCACTGAGCCACGCCAACCGGGCTAGTATTCCATTATTTATTTTTATACATATATTTCACATCTTCTTTTGTTCCATTAGCAATCATCACACCTCAGATAAACCTCTGGCTGCGATACTGCCACTGTGGGAGGCTTATATTTCCCGTCTTTACCCATTCATTCCCCATGGACACTTAGGCTGTCTCCACGTCTCTTGTGAATAATGCTGCCAGTGAACATGGGAGCACAGGTATCCCTAAGAAACTAATTTCCTTTCCTTTGGATATGTACCCCAGAGTGGAATCAATGGATCATGTGTCAGTTCTATTTTTAATTTCTTGAGGAACCGCCATATTGTTTTCCATAGTGGCTGCACCAGCTTGCATTCCCACCATCATGCACGAGGTTCCTTTTCTCCCCATCCTCACCAACACATACCTCTCGTTCTTTTTTAAAAAAATATATTTTATTGATTTTTTACAGAGAGGAAGGGAGAGGGATAGAGAGTTAGAAACATCCATCAGCTGCCTCCTGCACACCTCCCACTGGGGATGTGCCCGCAACCAAGGTACATGCCCTTGACCGGAATTGATCCTGGGACCCTTGAGTCCGCAGGCTGACACTCTATCCACTGAGCCAAACTGGTTAGGGCTTTAGTTCTTTGGATAGTGGCCATTCTGACAGGTGCGAGGTGACTCATGGTTGGACCTGCGTTTCCCTGATGTCTAGTGATTGCCTTGAGCCTGGAAGTATGATGAAGATCTAATTAGGCCAGAAAAGTGGCCGAGGAGCATTTGAGATCTTGCCTCTTAGCAATTGTCATCCGTTTAGGCTCAAATAAGTTCTTATAAAATTTCACAAAATGCCCTGACTGGTTCAGTTGATTGAGCATTGTCGCGTGCACCAAAGGGTTGCCAGTTCAATTCCCAATCAAGGCATATACCCAGGTTTTGGGTTTGATCCCTGGTTGGGGTGCATGCAAGGCAACCGATCTATGTTTCTCACATCAATGTTTCTCTCCTTCCTTGCTCTCTCTCTCTCAAATTAATAAAAAACTTTTTTAAAAATAAAGGAAACCACAATTTTTAAAAAAAACCCTTGCCCTGGCTGGGCAGCTCAGTTGGTTATAGCATTGTCCCATATGCTAAGATTCTGGCTTTGATTCCTGGTCAGGGCACATATAAGAATCAACCAACGAATGTATAAATCTCTCCTCTCTCAAATCAATCACTTAAGCCCGGCTGGCATGGCTCAGTGGTCGAGCGTCCACTTATGAACCGGGAGGTCAAGGTGTCATTCCCAGTCAGGGCACATGCCCAGGTTGTGGACTTGATCCCCAGTGTGGGGCAAGCAGGAAGCAGCCGATCAATGATTCTCCTTTATCATTGATGTTTCTATCTCTCCCTTTCTGAACTCAATAAAAATATTTTTAAATAAATAAATTTTAAAGAAATTTAAATATATATCTTTTTATTGATTTCAGAGAGGGAGAGAGATAGAAACATCAATGATGAGAGAGAATCATTGATCAGCTGCCTCCTGCATGCCCCCTACTGGGGACCGAGCCCGCAACCCGGGCATGTGCCCTTGACCAGAATTGAACCTGGGACCCTTCAGTCCGCAGACCAATGCTCTATCCAGTGAGTGGCTAGGGCAAAACATTTTTTTTTTTTAATTCAAAAGGGAATGTGGCAGAGAGCATCCTAGGCCAATGGGACAGCAGGTGCAAAGGCCCACAGGTGGACAATAGCTTTGGGGGAACTGTCGTGGGCTGAATAGTGATCCCCAAAAAGATACGTCCACATCCTCACCCCTGGAACCTATGCGTGTGATCTTATTTGGAAAAAACAGTCTTTGCAGATAAGATCATTCTGGGCTATCAGGTGGACCCTAAATCTAATGACAAGTGTCCATACAGGAGACAGAAGAGGACAAAGCCCCGTCAAGATGGGGGCAGAGGTGGAACTCGGTGTCTAGCACCCTCCTCTCCCCCACATCCGCATCCCTTCCCAGGTTGGAGGTGGGAGGTTGGCAAGTTAGGCTGATATTCGGTCTCAGAGCCCCAACCTTCTCATCATGTGATTGGTCTCTGGGGACTGACCAGCCTCCCATCTCAAGTCATCTCATTGGTGTGAAGTCTTGGGTGGGGGCTGGAGGCTGGGGCTCATGAATAACAAAGACCCCTATCACTTATCAGGGAAATTCCTGAGGGTTTATATGTTGGCTCCCGGGGAACAGACCAGATGCCTTCTCTTTTTATTTTATTTTACTTATTTTTTAAATATATTTTGATTTTTTACAGAGAGGAAGGGAGAGGGATAGAGAGTTAGAAACATCCATGAGAGAGAAACATCAATCAGCTGCCTCCTGCACACCTCCTACTGGGGATGTGCCCGCAACCAAGGTACATGCCCTTGACCGGAATAGAACTCAGGACCCTTCAGTCCGCAGGTCGACACTCTATCCACTGAGCCAAACCGGTTAGGGCTTATTTATTTATTTTAGAGAGAAAGGGAGGGAACGAGAGAAACATCAATTTGTTGTTCCACTTACCGATGCACTCATTGGTTGATTCTTGTATATGCCCTGACCGGGGATCGAACCTGCCACCTTGTTACATTGGGACGATGCTCTCCAGCTACCAGGCCAGGGCCAGGATCTGAAACTGGACAATGAATGGGCCTGGGCTGCCTGTCACTACTTGAGCCAGTTAAGCAGAGACAGGGTTGAATCATGTGGAGATTAGCAGGTCATTCATGAAAATCTGCTCTACACACCCCCACCGCCCCGTAAGCCAGCTGCTTATATTGGGTAGAAGGACGAAGATTGCACGGGGAAGTAGGAATTACAGGTCTGGGGAGGTAGGCAAGGTATAATGGCTACAGGTTACAGGTGACGTGGGCCGGGGGTTGGACAGGGTGGGTACCTCCAGGTGGTTACCATCCAGGATTCCATTGTTTCGGCAACACAGTTGTTATAATCTTTCCATGATGATCGGCAGTTCTTGAATAAGGAAATGGACCGCATTCTGAAGTTAACTACCAGGTGTATGTGGGGGAGTGTGTGTGTGGGGGGGGGCGGGGGGAGGCTGGTGGTGTTACAACTCCCAGCCAGGTCACAATATGCTTTCTTTAATCAGAACAGAACAATCACAGTTAACATAGCATGATTTTTCTTATAACTGTAGCTAGTCCCCACTATTCTATTTCTGCCCCTAACAGATCCCTTGGTTCTTGTGCATTTATTTAACAAATACTGATTGAGCACCTGCTCTGATTCAAACAGACCTACCCACCACGGTCCTGGGGCTGACGTCCCAATGGGGGCAAAGAAGATGAGTGCAGGGTGTGTCCGGTGACATGTGACAAGGGAAAGGGCAAAGCAGGCTTACAACGTGGGACGCGGTGGGGAAGGCTTTGCCTGGGAGTGTGAGCAAAGGCCTGAGTGAGGTGGGGCATGAGCCATGTGGGTATGGGGGGGGGGGGTATTCAGGTATTCAGGCTGAGGGATCTGCCAGTGCAAAGGCCCTGGGGCAGGAGTGTGCTTGTCCCGGGCATAGGGAGGAGGCCAAGGCAGAGGGGGAATCGGGCTGGGTCTTGCAGGCCTGTGTGGGCCACAGTGAGGGCCTGGTCTTTCCATCTGAGGGGCAGGAAGCAGCTCTGGTACATATGGGGAACAGAGGCGGGGAGCGGGGCGAGGCTGGGGCAGGTGCAGTGAGGGTCAAGGCCAGGAGGGAAGGCCGCACTGGTGTTCAGGGGGGAGATGGTAGCAGACCCTGGGTGATGGCAGCTGGGGTGCTGAGAAGTGCTTGCAGGGACTCCGCAGACATTTTGACAGCCACACATTTGCTGGGACTGGCCTGTGGGCAGTGAAAGGCCAAGGTCACATGACTCGGGGCGGGGGCGTCCAAGGAGAAAATGAAGAGCTCGGAGTGACCTCCTCGGCCTGCGTGCATTGGTTCTGCTTGGACCGCGTTCCAGCCCCAGCTCCTCAGTCCGGCTTCCCTACCTGTGAGAACTGACCCACCGCAGCCTTCCCCGGCCAGGCGCCCTCCGGGGCTGCCGCCAGGTGGCGCCGCTGGCCTCAGCCAGATCCACCCCAGCGCACTGTCCCCCTCCAAAATTTTCTTTCACTTTCGATCTCAGGCTGTCACCGGCCTGGCCCCTTCCACATGCAGCTGGGAATGACTTGGTGCCGGAGGAGAAAGGGGCTCTGGGTCCCCGAGGGGCGGGGCGGGGCGCCTCTGCTGGGGCTGAGGGAGGAGGAGTGGGGGGTCGGGTTCCTGGGGAGGGTTCCGGATCGTCTGTCGGGGTTCTTAGAAAGGGGAGACGCGGAGTTTTCACCGTAACTAGGGCGCATGCAGGAAACCCGTGGGAGAAGGAGGCGGAAACTTGGCCACATCAAGGGGCAGGGGAGGGGCAGGGAGGTGAAGGGGCGGGTGAGGAAAGGGCTGGGGTGTGTCAGCCCCAAACCTGCTCTTCTGTCCTTTCCAAGATCTGGCCACAGGCATGAGGGGCCTCCGGCGGAGATGATAGTGTTGGCACCAGCCTGGAGCCAAACTGTGCGTATACCTGGGCAAGGTGGGGGACAGGCAGTGTCATGATGGGCAGATAGGTGAGGAGATGCAGAGAGGTGGAGGGAGATGGGCAGGGGTGGAGGAGATGGGTAGGGGTGAGGGAGATGGGCAGGGGTGGAGGTGATGGGCAGGGGTGGAGGAGATGGGCAGGGGTGGAGGAGATGGGTAGGGGTGAGGGAGATGGGCAGGGGTGGAGGAGAGGGTAGGGGTGGAGGAGATGGACAGGGGTGGAGGGAGATGGGCAGGGGTGGAGGGAGATGGGCAGGGGTGGAGGAGATGGGCAGGGATGGAGGGAGATGGGCAGGGGTGGAGGTGATGGGCAGGGGTGGAGGAGATGGACAGGTGGAGGTGATGGGCAGGGGTGGAGGGAGATGGGTAGGGGTGGAGGAGATGGGCAGGGATAGAGGGAGATGGGCAGGGGTGGAGGAGATGGGTAGGGGTGAGGGAGATGGGCAGGGGTGGAGGAGATGGGCAGGGGTGGAGGAGATGGACGGGGTGGAGGAGATGGGTAGGGGTGGAGGTGATGGGCAGGGGTGGAGAGATGGGTAGGGGTGGAGGTGATGGGCAGGGGTGGAGAGATGGGTAGGGGCGGAGGAGATGGGCAGGGGTGGAGGGAGATGGGCAGGGGTGGAGGGAGATGGGCAGGGGTGGAGGAGATGGACAGGGGTGGAGGGAGATGGGCAGGGGTGGAGGGAGATGGGCAGGGGTGGAGGAGATGGACAGGGGTGGAGGGAGATGGGCAGGGGTGGAGGGAGATGGGCAGGGGTGGAGGAGATGGGCAGGGGTGGAGGTGATGGGTAGGGGTGGAGGTGATGGGTAGGGGGTGGAGGTGATGGGTAGGGGTGGAGGAGATGGGTAGGGGTGGAGGAGATGGGCAGGGGTGGAGGGAGATGGGCAGGGGTGGAGGAGATGGGCAGGGGTGGAGGTGATGGGTAGGGGTGGAGGGATGGGTAGGGGTGGAGGGAAATGGGCAGGGGTGGAGGAGATGGGCAGGGGTGGAGGTGATGGGCAGGGGTGGAGGGATGGGTAGGGGTGGAGGGAAATGGGCAGGGGTGGAGGAGATGGGCAGGGGTGGAGGTGATGGGCAGGGGTGGAGGCATGGGTAGGGGTGGAGGGAAATGGGCAGGGGTGGAGGAGATGGGCAGGGGTGGGGGAAATGGACAGAAGTGGGGAAATGAGCCGTTGGGGAGAGGGGCAGGCGTGGGGGAAGACACGGCGGGAGGTGGGTAAAATGGGCAGAGGGGGCCCAGAAGAAAGGAGAAGTGGGAGAGATGAGCAGATAAGGGCAGCGGGGTGGGCAGAGCGAGAGAGACCTGTCGCTGGGCCAAGGTGGGGGCCAAGGAGACTAAACGCTGGACGGTATCGGGCAGAAGCAGAGGGTCAGAGGTGGGCAGACCTGAGGCAGGTGGAGGAGGGGCCGGAACCGAATGGCCTGAGCGGGGAGCCGAGGAAGGGGAAGAGGCTGGGGAGGGGGGAGGGGTGCGGAGCCAACGGGGCCCCCTCCCCGCAGACCTCCCTGCTGCTGCTGCTGCTGCTGCTGCGCCCCGGCCTCGGCGGGACCCCCGACTGCTCCTTCCGCCACAGCCCCATCTCCTCCACCTTCGCGGACACCATCCGCAAGCTGGTGAGCGCCCGCGCCGCCCCTGCTGCTGTCGCTGAGCGGAGTCCCCCTGTCCCGGCCTCGGTCTTGGCCTTGGCGGCGCCCTGTGCCCCTCTCCCAGACCCCCTCCATCGTGCAGCCCAGCTGAACCCGTTTTCTCCCGCAGTCAGACTACCTGCTCCAGGATTACCCGGTCACGGTCGCCTCCAACCTGCAGGACGTGAGTCACCGAGGGGAGGGGCCGGATGGAGGTGGGAAAGCGGCTCTGGATGCACCCGGGGGACGGGGCTGGTTTGCCATCCCGCAGACCCGGAGTCCCGGCGCCCAGCCCCTCCCCGCTCAGACACCTCCCCCTCTGCCCACGGGCCCCAGAGCTTGGCTGTCTCCCCAGGACAAGCTCTGCGGGGCCTTCTGGCGCCTCGTGCTGGCCCAGCGCTGGATGGGACAGCTCAAGACCGTGGCGGGGTCCCAGATGGAAAAGCTGCTGGAGGCCGTCAACACCGAGATACACTTTGTCACCTTATGCGCCCTCCAGGTCAGCCCTGAACTTGGGGTGCGGGTGAGGGGGCGGGACGCCTTCCTAGGGAATGGGGAACGCAGCTCAGCCCGGCCTGACGGAGATTTCTTTGGTCCGGAGCAACTCAAGGCCGTGGAGCCCGTTGCCGGGGAATTGCATTCCTCTGAGCCCCCAGGATGGCGAGGGAGCTGGGCCAGGGCACATGCTGCTTCCTTCTCAGGCCCCGCTGCAGGGCGGTGCTAAGGGGTTCTCGCCCCTAGCAACCAGGAGAAGGAGGGGACCTAAATGCCCCTGGACTAGACCTCCCTGGGCCCTGTCGCTGGGCGTTGCTAAGGATGCTTCCCCCTAGCAACCAGAGAGAGCAGGGGCCCAAAAGCTCCCTCCGAGACCCAGGCCTCCCTGGGCCAGGTTGCTGGGGCTGCCGGGTGTTGCTGGGCAGGGAAGGCGCCGGGCCTGAGGAGTTGCAGGGGCTGATTCGGTGGTGACGTCTCCCTCCCCTGCCCCCAGCCCCTCCCTAGCTGTCTTCGCTTCGTCCAGACCAACATCTCCCACCTCCTGCAGGACACCTCCGAGCAGCTGGTGGCCTTGAAGCCCTGGATCACCCGCTGGAATTTCTCTGGGTGCCTGGAGCTGCAGTGTCAGCCGGGTAAAGGCTCCCAGCCCTCCCAGCCCCCCCAGCCCCCGCGCCCCCACCCTCAGAGCCCCTCAGACCCCAGCTGCTCCCATGGGCTGCGTGACTTGGGGCATGTTCCCCCAAGTTCATTCCCCTCTCTGGGCCTCAGTTTACCCATCCCAGAGAAGGGAAGGCAATCCCTGCCTGTTTCTCCAAGGCAGCCCCATGCCATGGAAAGAGTGTGGGGAGAGCCGCTTGTTGAAGTGTATACTTTCTAGTAACCATTTTTTAAAAGTTGAAAAAAATTAAAGCCCTGGCCGGTTTGGCTCAGTGGGTGGAGCTATGGAGTGTCTGCCCACAGACCGGAGGGTCCCGGGTTCAACTCCAGACATGGGCATGTAGAGTGGGGCCTTGACGTACGAGTGTCCCGACTAACGAGTTTTTCAAGATACGAGCCGTCTCTTGGCCGATTTTTGGCTTTGAGTTGCGAGCTAAAATTTGGGTTACGAGCCAGCTTCAGATACCCCACCGCTAGCTGGCGCAGCGAACGCCACATCAGCCCAGCATCACCTGTCTCACTCGTTCACTTTATGATTTGACATACGAGTAATTTGAGTTACGAGCTCCGTCACAGAACGAATTAAACTCTGAAGTCAAGGCCCCACTGTACCTTGGTTTCAGGAGGCAACCAATCAATGTGTCTCTCTTACATTGATGTTTCTCCCTCCCGTCTCTCCCCCTCCCTTCCACTCTCTCTAAAAATCAGTGGAAAATATCCTTGGGTGAGGATTAACAACAACAGCCCTGGCCCCTGTGACTCAGTAGGTTGGGCGTCGCCTCATGCACTGAGAGGTCACAGATTTGATTCCCGGTCAGGGGTCAGGGCACATGCCCGGGTTGGGGTGCTGGATCCCCCATAATGGGTGTGCAGAGCAGCCAATCAATGTTTCTCTCTCACATTGATGTTTCTCCCTCTCTCTCCCTTCCTCTAAAATCGACTTTTTAAAATATTTTTAAGTTAAAAAAAGGTAAATTCATTCTTGTTCAGGATATTTATATTCTGCCACCTTATCATGGTTTTATTCAGTCTTTCCGTCCTTGTAAAGTTTGTCTACTAAATCTGTCAAGTTCTGAGAGGGATATTTTGTTTGTTTGTTTGTTTGTTTTTTTTAAATATATTTTATTGATTTTTTACAGAGAAGAAGGGAGAGGGATAGAAAGTCAGAAACATCGATGAGAGAGATCGATCAGCTGCCTCCTGCACGCCCCCCAGTGGGGACGTGCCCGCAACCACGGTACATGCCCTTGACCGGAATCGAACCCAGGACCCTTGAGTCCGCAGGCCGACGCTCTATCCACTGAGCCAAACCAGTTCGGCTGTTTGTTTTCTTTTTGAGAGGGATATTTTTTAAAATTCTCACTCTAGGTTGATTTTTCTCAATTCTTCCCCAGATTGCCAATCTTTCTCACACCTATTGAGCTTTGTTTGTCATTTGTATTTACATTTATGACTACTGTATTCAATTGCTCAACCAGGTTTTTTTTTTCTTCTTCTTTTTTTTTTTTTTTTTTTTTCCCCTTTTGCTTTTGGTAATCCTCACCCGAGGGTATTTTTCCATTGATTTTAGAGCGAGTGGAAGGGAGGGGGACGGATAGAAACAGATCGGCTGCCTCCCGCACGCCCTCTACTGTACTGGGAATCAAGCCCGCAGTCCAGGCATGTGCCCTGACCAGGGAAATTCTTTTTGTTATCGTTTTTGTTGTTCATGTTCACCCGGGATACTTTTCCATTGATTTTTAGAGAGTGGAAGGGAGGGGGAGAGAGACACATCAATCAGTTGCCCCCCCCCCACCCCCCCCCCAGGGCCAGGGATTGAGCCTGCAACCGAGGTACATGCCCTTGACTGGAATCCAACCTGTGACCTGACCCTTCAGTCCACAGGCCAATGCTCTCTCCACTGAGTCAAACCTGCTAGGGTGCAAATTCATTGTTTTTATAAGGAAAAACTGTTACTTAATAGAATGCAACCTATGGCTTACAACATTTTTAAAATACGTTTTTATTGATTTTAGAGAGGAAGAAAGAGAGAGATAGAAACATCAATAGAGAGAAACATCAACATCGATGGGCTGCCTCCTGCACGCCCCCTACTGGGGATCAGCCTGCAACTCCAGGCATGCACCCTGACTGGAATCGAACTGGTGACCTGTTGGTGCATGGGTCGATGCTCAACCACTGAGCCATCCCAGCCGGGCTGCAAATTATACATATATGTGTATTTTTAATCCTCACCTGAAGATATTTTTCATTGATTTTTTAGAAAGAGTGGAAGAGAGAGGGAAAGACAGAAAAAAAATCCATGTGAGAGAGACACATTGACTGGTTGCCTCCTGCACAAGCCCCAACTGGGGCCCGGGCTGGGGAGGAGCCTACAACCAAGGTACGTGCCCTTGACCGGAATTGAACCCGGGACCCTTCAGTCCACAGGTTGATGCTCTACCCACTGAGCCAAACTGGCTAGGGCTATAAATTATATTTTTACTAGAGGCCCGATGCACAAAATTCATGCAAGGGGCTGGTCCCTGGAAGCCCCTTGGCTCTGTGGCCCCGCCCACTGGTCGTTCTGGAAGGTCTTTCTGCCATCCAGTCTAATTAGCATATTAGCTGTTTATTATATTGGATAATATTTAGTGAGCACTAAGTAGGAGGTTCTAGGAATAAATAACACAGATAAGAGTCCTCGCACCACATGCAGCTCACAGACTGTCGGGGAAAGAGGAAGAAACAAATCCACACAGAAGCACCGGAAGCATTTGTTCTAAAACATGCGACCTTCCTGTGTGCCCGACACTGAGCCAAGCTCTTTCTCCTGCACTCGCTTAGTTTTTGTGGCAACCTTAGGACGTAGGTGTAATGATTATCCCGGTTTACAGATCAGGAGGCAGGCACAGAGAGGCCAGCAGCCCACCCGAGGTCACACAGCAGCACCAGGAAGGCCTGTGCCTGGCCTGACCCTTCTCCTTGGTCACTGCGGCTCCTCTCTCCCCTCAGACTCCTCCACTCTGCTGCCCTCAGAGAGCCCCCTGGCCTTGGCGGCCACAGCCCTGCCAGCCCCACAGGCTTCTTTGCTGCTCCTGCTGCTGCTGCCGCCAGCGGCCCTTGCGCTGCTGGTCGCTGCCTGGTGCCTGGGCTGGCGAAGGAGGAGGCGGAGGCCCTGCCCTGGGGAGCAGGTGAGCCAGCAGGGTGGGCAGGGGGGCTGGGAGGGCGGGGGTGGGGGGGTGGGGGGGGAGTGTCTGGAGGCCCAGTTGCCCTGCTGTGGTTGACCCTGTGGGGGCCAAGGTGGCCCCGCCTCCAGTCCCCAGGAGCACTGCTCCTCTGGGTGAGTCTTCACCAAACCGAGGACCCTGGACTTTGTGTGCGTGGAGGGCTGGGAGCAGTGGAGCGTGGGTCAGGTTGGATGCAGGAAGCCCCTGCTGGGGCCATAAGGGGACAGACTGGAAGAGAGAGCCTGGAGGCCAAGGAGGCTGGGGAGGGTCCAGCGAGAGAGGACAAGGGCCGAGCCAGGCTGGGACCAGGGGGATGGAGAAAAGGCAGGGGCAGAGTCAGGGATCAGGCTGCACACAGACAGGCTTGGGGGTGGCACAGGCACCTGGTGGGTCTGGCCCAGCGACTGGTGGACAGTGGGAGCCTGGGGAAAGTGGGAGCTCCGGGAGACAGTGAGCTCAGCGGGAATCTGTGGCAGAAATTTGGACGCAGGAATCTACATGGAGAGCGGCTGCCTGGAGCGTAGGGAGGGGGCCCCCTTTGCAAATCCCTGCCGCTGTGAAAAAGCTGAAAAAGCTCGGGGTGTCCCGGTGACTTTGGCTAGCCTGGGCAGGTGTGGGTGGGGTTTGAAAAATGCCACAGGAAAATCCAGGCCCCCGGTGCCTGGCAAGGAAGCTGAGGCTTCCTGCCCAGGGCAGCAGCGAGCTCTGCGAGGGTGTGACAGAGCCAAGAACCTGCGAACGGGTGTGGGGCTGCGAACGGGTGTGGGGCAAGAGGTCGGCGGGTCAGGACAGAGGAAAGAGGGAGGCTCCCGCGGGTTCCGGACAGGCCCAGAGGGATCGGACTAGAAACACGTGTCTGTCATCACGGGCACACACAGTGCCTCGGTGACGTGGGCCTCGTGCCGGGGTTTTCCACAAACTCACTCCCGTAATGGAGACGCTGGTGCGTCATCCCCGTTTCGCAGAGGCTGAGCGCAGGCACAGAGAGGTACAGCGTCTGCCAGAAGTCACACAGCTCGTGCGTGGCAGAGTCGAGATGTGACTCCGGCCCTTGTGCCTTTCACTCTTTGGCCTCAGTTTCCTTATCTGTACAAAACACCAAGAATAGTCCCCCCCCAGAGTCGTCCAGAGGTAAAGGGTGACACACGCAGAGCCCAACGGAAACAGAACACAAGCCACACACAGGGTTTAGCGTTTTCCAAAAGGCATTAAAGAAAAGAAGACGCGGGTTACTTTTAAAATTTCATTCCACCCTGTGTATCCAAAATGTGCTTTCAAGACGGCATCAACATTTTTAAAAAAACGACTGATGGTATGTTTTACACCCTTTTTTCATACCGAGTCTTCCGGTGTGTGCGCGGGGAAATCCTTGATCCGGCCTCAGGTCTCATGAAAGGTGCAGCAGCAAAAGCAGATCCGCTCGCTCGCGCTGTTTGCAACGTCCAGTTTCCCAACAACTGGATTCGAGGGTCAGTTCCTAAATGTAATGATTTTCGTGTCAGCGCTGGCTTCGGAACGGTTCCTCGTTACCGTTTTCCGTGAAAAGTCACGCGCTTGGAGAAGTCTCCCGCCTGGTTTGCCCCTGTCCACCCGTTCTCACGCTCCCGTTACCCACACTGTTGAGATCAAACGAGGTAACAAGTGGAACTCAGGTGCGCGGACCGCGTGGGGGACCGGCGGTCCCGAGGGCGCAGGCGCGGAGCACCCCGCGGCGCGAGGCCCCAGCACGTGGGCGCGGGCCGGGCCGGAGCCGTCGGCGCTGAGGTCTGCGCCTGCGCCGTGCGCGCCGCCGCCCCCCCCCCCCCCTCCCGCGGCCCCGGGAGGCAGACGCGTCTACCCTCCCCTTTTACAGGGGACCCCGAGGCCCAGCGCGAGGAGCCAGCCGCCCGAGGACACAGAGCCGGGACCCGGAGGACGTCAGCCAGAGAGCCGGCCCTGCCTCGGCGGCACGGCCCCCGCCACTGTGTCCCCGGGACGGAGGCCACGCCAGCTGCCGGCGCCGGCCCCCGCCCCGCCTGCCCCGCTCTGTACAAAGCCCTCGTCCCCAGGAACTTGTACATAAATCATCCTTTTCTACCAGCTCTGCTCAGGCCTGTCTGTTGGTGGGTCGACTTGGGTTGGAGCCTTGGGCTTCCAGATGATGCGATTGTGCATCCAGGGCCTGTTTTCTGAGGCTTCCTGGGTGCCAGCCCAGCCCTCTCGGGGCTCCCGGTCCATGGGGGGGAGACGTGGGGCACGGGCCGCCTCGGTACAGGGTGCTATGCGCTCTGATGGGGCAGCAGTGGGAACCCGAGGAGGCACCTGGCGCAGCCGGCGAGCCACCACATGCCCTGCAGCCTACTGTCGCTTGAGGGATTGACCGCGCTTCCCTACCGCGCCGGGCAGTTTGCGCGAGGGAGAGGCACAGTCCCTCAAAAACATGGCGGCCGAGGCGGGACGGCCCGCCCCGGGCCCGCCCCACGTGACCTCCCGCCCCGCACAATCATGGCCGCCGAGGTCCTTTGGGAACCATTCCCGGATTGGACGATCCGAAGACGGCCCGCCTTCTAATGGGACCTCAACACGCATGCGCACGACCGTGGCCAATGAGACGCCAGAAAACTGCTCGCGTAGGCCTGTGGCGTCATTTCCTCCGCCCCTGTTGCAAGGGATAAGAAACCCTGCGCCAAGGCTTCCTTCTTTCCCAGGCGGCTGCCGAAGATGGCGGAGGGGCAGGTGCGGGCTCCGCGCGGGCCGGGGCGGCTCGGGGCCGGGTGGGGTCCAGGCGGGAACGGGGTCGCATCCTCTGCCCCTTCGTACGTGTGTAGTGACGCTTTAGCTCGATAAGTGAGCAAAACGAAGGGCAAAAGGGGTGAGGAGGTTCCGTAACGGGGAAACGGAGATACTGGGACTGTCTTTGTGCCCAAGCTGGGTAAATGCGGCATCGTTTCTCCCCGAGGGGCGGCGGCGGAGACGTTCAGCGCAGGAAGAGCTATTTTTAAAGCTGTTTTTACCTTGCTCTGGGCCGGTCCTTGGGGGAGTTGGACCCGTGTTTTTCTAGCGACCCGGGAAGCACGTGGGAGGCGGCTGAGAAACCAAGGACCGGCCAAAATGGAGGCGCCTTTCATTCCTCCCAGACGGCCCTGTCCGCTCTCCCGTGGGAGTGCCAGTCGGGCTTCCCCCGCATCTCGGGGTGTTTTGGCCCGAAACCTTTAACAGTGGGTCCAAGAGCTCTTGCCTGCGGGGCTTTCAAGAACAAATTGTGGTTTTTTCCCCTTTTGCGTTTGGGTTTGATGGGTGCTTTGAAATGCTGTTAAAGCAGAAGACTGTGATTAAATGCTCCTTTGTCCTTAAGCACTTGGCCTCCAGGGAAGGCAGCGGAAGCTTCGCCCCGAACGCCCTGGCCCCTGTGTAACATGAAAGGGGGGGCTCGGGGATTAGGGGGCCCTGGTGGGCTTCATGCCACGGGCCTGTGGTTACGGAGAACCACGCTGGGAGCCAGACAAGACGGGGTCCCCTGAGCGTGCCCCCGCGTGTGCTGTGTGCCGGCCCGGTTTGCCTTGTGCTTTCCGTAACAATGTTTCTGAGGCAGGTGTTGTCCTCATCTTCCAGGTGAGGAGGTGGAGGCGTGGCGAGCTGCAGATCTTTGCCCCGAGTCACAGTGTCAGGAAGTCTGGCTTTAGGTTCTGTGCCTCTCCGCCTTCCAACAGTCACCACGCATATAACCAGCACCCCATAGAGTGGGGACTTTGACCCTTGATGAAGAAGCTATAACCTGGGCATAAAAACCCCTGCCCTTCAAGCGGCCGAGATGTGAGAGGAGTTCTTATCCCGCTCATTGAAATCACCATTTGCTATTTTGGCCTCGTCTGTGAAGTGAGCCTTGGGTCCCAGTTCCTAGGTCTGGTGCCTGGATAGGCGGCACCTGGGGGATAAGGTGTAACAAACAATTAACTGGTTGCTTGGGGTGGGGAGATGGAAGTTCTGGGTGACCGAGCCCTCGTCTGTCTTCACAGGTCCTGGTGCTTGATGGCCGAGGCCATCTCCTGGGCCGCCTGGCGGCCATCGTGGCCAAGCAGGTACTGCTGGGTAAGTCTGCCCCGCGCCTACAGCCCTCCAGCGTGAGGTCCGACCTGCGGTCCGTGATGAGCAGCAATCACCATCTTTCGTTTGAGTCTCACGACCGTGAGATCAACCCCATGCACCGCTCTGAGACCTGCCAGCCACTCCCCACCCCCCGCCCCGGAGGTGGGAGCTGTGGGGTTCACATGTTCTGTTGGGCGAATTCACTTAAGCGTGAATGTAGCTCTGTGACGGGGGCCAGGGGTTCCCCTGCTGGGCCCTTTGCTGTCTTGCCCTTGTGGTCGGGTCCTGACCTGGGAGGATCGCCCTTTGGTGCCTCAGCAGTAACTGGGCGGGGGTGCTGCTTGGCCTGAGCCCCCCTCGAGTGCCTCACTGTCCTCCTCTCTAGGCCGCAAGGTGGTGGTTGTGCGCTGTGAGGGCATCAACATTTCTGGCAATTTCTACAGAAACAAGTGTAAGTTATGGCATGGGAGAAGGACTAGGGAGGGTTGATGGGTGAGGTGCTCAGGCTCCATAGACCCTGAAAGCCATCCCCCCAGTGGTTGGGGCGGGGGGCTAGTTGGAGATTCAGAATAGGCCCTTGGAAGTGGGTGTGGGAAGAAGAGAAGCTGGTGTTTCCCTGGGGAGTATACAGCCTCACGCTCTCCCCTCTCGTCAGTGAAGTACCTGGCCTTCCTGCGCAAACGGATGAACACCAACCCGTCCCGCGGCCCTTACCACTTCCGAGCCCCCAGCCGCATCTTTTGGCGGACGGTGCGAGGTGAGCGGGGCCTGAGGCCCGCGGGTGGGGATGGGGCGGGCGGGTGGCCCGTGATGAGGACTTCTCCCACTCAAGTTCGAGTTTCCCAACCATGAGATGACTCCACATGCACTACCATCTGAGGCCACCGCTCCGCCTGCCTGGTGATGGGGTCTCGGCGAGCCCCTCTGAGCAGGGTTGCTGTCCTCTGCCCACAGGCATGCTGCCCCACAAGACCAAGCGAGGCCAGGCCGCCTTGGACCGCCTCAAGGTGTTTGACGGGATCCCACCGCCCTACGACAAGGTAAGCGAGACCGGCCCGGCCCAGCACCCCGGTGTCTGGCGTGTCCGTGATGACCCACGATTACCTACATTGTTTGAGCCTCATGAGAACAGCACTGGCTGAGACACCTGCCCCAGCCAGCCTTCTTCCCTGTCTGCCCCCCACTCCAGGTCCCTAAGCCCCTCTCCTTCTCCAACAGAAAAAGCGGATGGTGGTTCCCGCCGCCCTCAAGGTTGTGCGCCTGAAGCCCACCCGGAAGGTGAGTTCCGGGCTTCATGGAGCAGACGGACGTGGGGGGCTGAAGGCGGGGTCCCCGAGACTGGCAGATGATGGTTTTTTCTCACGATGGTCTGCGGATGCCACCTGGGCACTGCCGAAAATGCCAATGGCTTAGCTGATGCCAGGAGGAGCAGGGAGCCCCTTACACAGGGGGTGGGTGTGTCTTCTGATTTAAACTTGGATCCTTTGAGAAGTCTTCAGCCCCTCCCCAATCTAGGCTCCCATTTATTTACAATTTCATTTCCCCCCACCCCAGTTTGCTTACCTTGGGCGCCTGGCTCATGAGGTTGGCTGGAAGTACCAGGCCGTCACAGCCACCCTGGAGGAGAAGAGGAAGGAGAAGGCCAAGATGCATTACCGCAAGAAAAAGCAGCTCATGGTGAGTGCAGGGGCACCACACGCCTGGGCAGTGGGACCTGGGCCCCTGGGAAGGGGTCACAGGCAGCAGCCACTGACCACAGCCTGTTCTAACCCCACAGAGGCTACGGAAACAGGCCGAAAAGAACGTGGAGAAGAAAATTAACAAATTCACAGAGGTCCTCAAGACCCATGGACTCCTGGTCTGAGCCCAATAAAATTGACTGTTATTCCTCATGCTTGGCCTGGCCTGCCCTTCCTCCATCGCCGCCCTAGGATGTGGGGAACCCCAGGGGCTGTTCCGGGGCCACAGGCACCTTACCTTGGGCCTTAGAAGGCTGGGGACACAGAAGGGACCTTAGTCACTGCTATTTAAGAAAGGCCTTTTAGAAGCTTTACCTGGCCCTGTCAGTTGGGCATAACTTGCCTGTGACCTACTCAGAGTTTTAGGAAATGAGCAGCTGGAACAGCTAGTTCCCTTTCAGGATTTATAAGCTGGAAAACTCTCTAAACTTCCCACATGATACTAGACCGCAGCTGTTAGGATGTAGCAAATGCTTGGGGGCAGGATGGACCTGGTATTGTACAGAGGGATTTACAGATGCACAGACAGGACGGCAGCCAGTCTCAGGCATCGCACTTGCACGTTCCTGTACCTTGTGACCAGAAAATGAATAAATTATTTTTAAAGAAATTTGGCGTCTTTGCCGTGTGTGTCTGCAACGGAGGCAGGCCCTTGGGGGCTGTCCACAGATAAATGGCTAAATTCCTAACCTGTTAATGCGTGGGAGAATTCACCTTTAGAGATCGACCTGCCAACAATTTACTCAAACCATTGTCTGGTGCCCCAATTGACAGCCGTCTACACTCCAGCTGCAGGGTGTGGAACTGCCCCGTTTTAGAGCCACCCCCTTTGTGGGACGAGGGCTACTTCACTTCACTCGGGTCATCGGCCACACTTGCTTTGGGGGAAGAAATGGGCGAGAAACATTTGCTTGTGTGGGATGTTTACGATGGAAGTGGGCATGTTAGATCTGCCTGGGTGCATACCTGAAAGGGTAGATACACAGGTGGAAGCCCTTGGGTCACCTTTGATCACCTCCATCAGGCCTGTCTCCCTTTCACTGATGAGGTTTAGGAGGAGTCACCTGATCCAGAGCCAAACCCAGAATTCCACACAAGCCCTCGGGTTTGATGAAGGAAAAATCTGTCCTGGAAAAGAAGCTGAATTCATGCAGCCCCTGGGATTGGTGTGCAATATTTAGAAATAATTTCCTAATTCAATTCAGCATTCAAATGCCCAACCTCGGCACAAAGGGAGCTAGTGGAGGAGAGTTCCCAGGCAAATCACAGCTGGCACACCTGCCGTTCTATCCTGCACCATCTCCAAAGCAGCCAAGATCTACCATGGGTGGTGACACCTCCCCTCCTTGGTTCCTGGGATCTGCCTCCAAAAGCAACTGAAGACAAGCTTAATTCTAAAATCTGACAAAACTGTTACAACAACACAATCCCACTGAAATCACTATCCATTAAAAACACCACTTTCGCCAAAACCAGTCTGGCTCAGTGGATAGAGCGTCGGCCTGTGGACTGCAAGGTCCCAGGTTTGATTCCGGTCAAGGGCATGTACCTGGGTTGCCGGCACATCCCCAGTGGGAGATGTGCAGGAGGCAGCTGGTCGATGTTTCTCATCGGTGTTTCTAACTATCTCTCTCCCTTCCTCTCTGTGAAAAATCAATAAAATATATTTTAAAAAAAAACCACTTTCCACTTCAGAAGACACAGATAAGATGACAAACAACAGAAAATACTTGCAAATCTCTTTGAAGGACTTACATTCCAAGTATATATATTAAAAACCTCTTATAATGAGACAAACCAAATGAGAATTAGGCAAAGCTTTGAATGGACATTTCACCAAAGAAGATATATATATACAAATGGCCAATAAGCACCTGAGAATAGACTTAACATTCAACATTAGAGAATGAAAATAAAATCTCTGGGTGGACAATCATGTAGCACAAATTTGAGGAATCAAAGCTCCAGTTCCATCTTGCCCAACTACCCACCACCAAAGCATGTGGGCACACCTCTCCAGTCCACCGGGGTGCCATAGGGAGGGTCTTGGGGTTTTTTGTTTTTTTTAAATAATGATTTCAGAAAGGGGGAGAGAGAAACATCAATGTCTCCTGCACACCCCCCCCCACCACCACCACCACCACCAGGGATTGAGCCCGCAACCCGGGCATACGCCCACGACCAGAATCGAACCCAGACCCTTCAGTCCACAGGCTGATGCACTATCCACGGAGCCAAACCCACTAGGGCAGGAGGGTCTTGTTTTAATAGGCATTTCTGTGCTCAGTGGGGACGGCTCCAGATCAAATAGTATTTGCATTTTTGTTAGGAAATGCTGGGAAACAGCGTCTGTGAAGTCTGACAGCGTTGGCTGAAGTTTATTATTGGACACCAAAGCTGTTTACAATGCAGGTGAAAAATCAACCCAGCCATAAAATAGATAAGTGAAATACAAATGAAAACGGGGTGGGGGGGTGTGGGGATCAATGTACTGCAGGAAGGAAAGGAAAGAGTTAAAAGTTAGACGGGCAAGGAGAGAAGCTGTTTGATGAGACTGTACATGCTGTTTCCTATTGTGGGTTGTGCTCAAAACGCTGAAAAGCTAAGGACCCAGCGCCCTTGCAGAGTGAAGCGGTATTTCTTCTGCTTTTCCCTTATCACCAAGATCTCCCCAGCCACCCTGAACACCTTGCAAAATATTGAGCATTTTACACACCAGAGAGGAAATCGCACCTAATCGCACCGCCTGGCGATGTAAACCGCTGGGCACGCGTTGTTAGCTTTTTTCTAAGTAACGTTTAATCAGGTTAACGCGCATTGTTGATAACAACGGTGGGCCCTGCCTTTTAAAAAAAAACAAAACTAATATCATAAATACTTTCCAAGTCGTTCAAAAGTTCCAGGAACTACGTGGTTTTTTTTTTTTACAAAGAAA